GAGGGGCTTCCTGTGATGAGGAAAGAGTGAGGAGGAGGAGGAGGAGGGGTTGTTGCCATGAGGAGAAGGGTGAAGAGGGGCTTCCTGTGATGAGGCGGCACCAGCTGCTAGTGCAGGTACGTATGTACGCATGCTGCGGGAATGCAGGGGAGGGGTGAGGAGGAGAGGGGTGTGGTACTGAGGATGGGAAGCGCTTGTCATGATGTGAAGAGAGGAGGAGTAGGAGGAGGAGGAGGGAGAGACGACGAAAAGCTTAGAGAGAAAAGAGAGAAGGGAGGATAGAGGAGAAAAGACGGAGTAAGGGGAGGACAAGAAGAAAAAGGAGGAGGAGGAGAGGGGTGCGGGTAGGGGGGGGGAGGGTCTGTCATGATGTGAAGGGGGCAGGAGGAGAAGAGGTTGTTGTGATGAGAAGGGGATGTGATAAGGAGGGGAAGGGTAAGAAGGGGCTGGGGTGATGATGAGAGGGGTGAAGAGGGGAGGAGGAGGAGGAGGAGGAGGAGGAGGAGGAAGGGAGTTGTTGTGATGAGGAAGGGGGTGAAGAGGGAGTTCCTGTGATAAGGAGATAGAGAGAGGAGGGGGAGGGGGAGGAGGAGGAGGGAGGGGGAGGGGGGTTCTTGTGAGCAGAGGTGTATGGAATGGTCACTTGAGCGAAAACGGAATAGTGTCCTTGATAGACATTCTATAGAGGCGGTTTTAATTCATAACATATCACTGTCTCTTATAGACAGGTGACCCTTCTGTAGAGGTGTCAGCTAGCGCGCGGGGTTGACAGTGTGTGCGTGCGTGTGATTGCAGGAGATAGAGCAGCTCTCGCGCAGGAGGAAGCGCCGACACCACCAGCACCTAGCTGTCGAGGACAGCCAGAAGGTGGCGCCACGCGACAGCGCGAGGATGCAGCATGGCGACGCCGCCGCAGCCGCCATGCTCGCGCAAATGTCCAGCGGCACGTCCAGCAGCAAAGGTAGTGACAAGGTCATGGTCATCGGCGGGTGTGGGGGACGGTCAGTCACCGCGTGTATCTCTCTCTCTCTCTCTCTCTCTCTCTCTCTCTCTCTC